ACTTTGTTTCTCCAATGGGGAAATACTGGGGGAACGTAGGTAGACAAAAGGGTGCGGCGATTGATGGCTTGATAAGATCAGGCTGTCATTTTTAATTTCACTTTTCAGAAGACTAGCTAGGGTGAACTCAGTGTCCTGTATAATTACGTCTGTGAGGCTTTTTTAGTTGTGTTTCATGGTTGGATGATTCGAATAATTTTGAGATTAAATAATATATTTAATGGAAAAGTTTATTAAACTTAGGAGGATTAAGCATGAATCATGATTAAATATATTTCTTTTAATTACTGCGAATTTAGCAAACCATAGCATTTGTTGATACAGGTACAATGACACATTTATTTCATGTATGCTTTAAGTTTAAGGCATTAAAAATACTTAAAACTTATGCTATATACTTTTTAGGTTAGTTTATTTTTCATTAACTCGTCATTATAAAAATACAATAATGCCATATTCTATTCCGGGTAGTTTTTGAAATATGACGCTTTTTAGACTAAATCTTCTGTACATTTAACGTTCTCCCCAAATTATAAAAATGTCAAATGGGTAATGATAAAATTTTAGTTGCAAATATGGTTATAATAGGAGTAGGCTCATTTTATGTGTCTTTGCCACGGAAACAGAAATCTAAAAAATAGTTTTTTTTTAGAAAATACGAAAGTGTAGAGCAATAAATTAATACTTCTCCTGTCAATTTCTATCTCAGTGCGTAACCCTGCTAATGGATCCATCGCTTTTACATAAAGAATATCCAGAAACTAGTACTATAAAAGGAAAAACAGTACGAATAACCAGTGTGTACGCGATGACTCGCAATCCTTATTGCTGTCAATCGCTTGAAGTTGTAACAAAGTTAGAAACATCCGAACAGCAATTTACCAAAGATGACATAAATATATCAGAAAATTCAATTCTTTTCTGTTGTGACAGTTAACTGTTCCTGAGAACCACTAATACAAAAATTTGGGTACTTCAAATGATTTATTCTCTTCAAATACACACTCTCAAACATGCACCATTTAATATTAAAGGAGGAAAGATAAACATATTGTAACACTACTAAGAAAATTAAAAAAGGAAAAACCTACTGAAGTTTATGTAAATCTCAGAATTCCATTCTTGATTTTTTTTAGAACATCACTTATACCGTATCCTTATAAACTACCACCTCTTAATAGATAACCGAAAACTCACAATGATGGCGTGCTACTCAGATCTTAGAAATAGATCTTGGGTAGATCAGAGATTGAGTTCAAGAGATTCGGCAACTACTAGTTTAAGTAGCTTTCTACGTCAATTTTAGACAACTTTAGACTCCAAACAATTATTTATTTATTTTACAAATTATTTATAATTATTTGTTATAAGAAAAACATTTTCGTTGGTTATATCTACATATTCATGTATAGCTAGATTTAGGCCATTCAAACAAGTTTGTTTGATTTAAAGTACATTCCTTTGTGCTTCAACAGAGAGTAATAGAGCTCTTTTGATGCTGTCTGTATAAATTTTAATTTTAAGTAAAAAGTTCACTCCTGTGATATATGTAGGTACCGGAAAATCTGGCATCGATATGCTGAGGATATCGTAATGTAAAATTGATCCGATTGACAGTTGGTTGATAATTTACGCAAAGGCAGATTGATTTACTTGACATTGTCTCAACTGGAATATTAAAATAAAAAAAAAATATCTCAGTTTAGAGAAAAAAATGATTATATTAATTACTTATGCTGCTGTAATTTTATTATTTTGCCAATTTTTGCTAACCCTGGTTAGATTAGTACTGCACACCACTGCAAACCTATTTTTTACACCATTTTTCTTTTACCTATTCTATTTGTATAGCACAAAATCAAATTAATTATAACTAGAAAACAAGAAATACAACCTGAAAACTTATCAGAAATACTCCCCAAAAGCTATAAATTATAAACGATATCGATCGCGCGCGCCCTTTTGCGTACCTGCCTTCCCCCCAATGTTTCCCCATTGGAGAAACAAAGAGGCGACCGATTGGCTGGTCCTTCGAGACGCCCGAATTACAGATCGCCCGTTTTGGCAGCACATCGCGGCGCGGTATTTAGCTGAACCACCCCCACGATGCCGGGTGTTTGATCTCGGGAGATCGTGTAATATCTAGACGTACCTTTTCGTCAAAGTGTTGTAGCCAACATTAATTATCGTCTGCTCCTAGTGAGAGTGAGGCGAATTACATTATAATTGTATATTTGAGATAAAAGCGATTTTTCAAAATTTGTTTAAGGTTTTGTGACTTTTTAAGCGCGTGGTAGTTTTGAAAAAAAAATAGAGTAAAGTAACAAAAAGAATTTTAAGTTACCGTCTCTTATTTGCTACTAAGGCTAATCTGGACGGGGTCTACTTTTTTTACGCGGAATCCGAACTGCGGTCCTCGGCCATATCATTGTCAATAGCCTATTAACTTGGCGAGTGTCTAAATCAACTCTTACTTATGATTTATCCGATCGCATCCGGCCTCGAACCGATATTTTCAGTTTATATAGAAGTAATATTTATAACAATCAATAAAAAAAAAAATATTAGTTAGAGGCTTGATACATAAATGCCTATATTCTATTCGAGTCCAATTTTTTTTTAAATCGTTTATCTTTTCGTGTAACTGATTTCTTGATTCAAAATCGATTCAAACTAAAGTTATCCATATGGTTGCCTTCATAATTTATACTTTTTAATAAAATTTGTATACCTTTTGGGGAGTAGTTTTAGGGGAAAAAATTGTAACACCCTGCTCAGCAAGCTTTAGCCGAAAAAATGGCCCCACATGGCCGAAAAATAAGTTTTTCGCAAATATCTGCCAAAATATGCAACGTACAAAAATTTTCTTTGAATAAAAAGGAAACTTAGGTAATTGTCTACAAAAATGGTCCTTAACATTTTTTATGTAGAATTAGTCATTTTCGAGATATTACGCCTCGAAGATTCCTGAATTTTCTCTCCAAGTTTTAACGGCTCCGGAGATTTTATAAGCGTATCTTGACTGATAGGAGAAATCGTTTAATAACTTGGCTAAAATTTAATAATTTTTGATGATTTAAAGTTTATTTCAAAGGTAGAATCAACAGCTATCACATTTTAGAATTTGTTCGAATTTTGTCATATTTTATGATAATAAAAAAACCACTGAAACATTCCTTGACCCAAAAATTTTCACATTTTTACAAATTTATTCATATTTTCACTAATAATAGCTTAATTATCAAGATTTGTTTTGTGCTGGTGCCAGATATAAGCACTGTCATGTGTAACATAACTTTTATAAGTCATGTTCCACAAGTAGTTTGGGGTCGCACCACTCTGGCCCTTTGTGCCATTGTATCGGTTTTTTAATCACGGTGCGTATATTATTCTGTAAAGTACTTAATGGGGTCTAATAAAGAAATTTGAATTTGAATTTGAATTTGAATTTGAATGTTCCACAGCGTAGGACATCCCTTGCATGCTGATATTTCAGACCAAATGGTCAAGGTAGAACATTATATCCGGGTAAATGGAGAAGAACAATATACCCTGAAAGAGTTGCAAGATATTGTAGGTAATTTTGAACTTTTACCATTGATTGCCAACTCCTCATTGATGTTTATTACTTATAAAGTTATTATGCAATTTTCCTTTGTTTATGACACTTTTCGAAAATTCCAAAAAAGCCACTCATGAATAGTTGTTCTTTTTATTAATATGTGATTAAACAAATACTTCAAACTTTCTGAGTTGCTAAAAGAGACTCTAAGAACAACTCTTGACAAATAAGCTATTATTAGTGAAAATGTGAATAAGTTTGTAAAAATCTGAAAATTTTTGGGTTAAAGGATGTTTGCCCGGTTTTTTTATTACTATAAAATATGACAAAATTCAAACAAATTCGAAAATGTGATAGCTGTTGGTTCCATCTGTGGCGATTGACCACCGTCATATGAAGCATGAAGTTAGCAGCGTCAAGGTACACCAGGGTTCATCGGTGCCAATAAAAAAAAAAGAAGAATAGCGGCATCGGCTGACAAATTAAATGAAACATTAGACAGACCAGTAAACCAAAAAACAAGTGAGTATGTCTAGTGTGGAAAATCTAAACAGTAAACCCAGATGATTTCAGATTATCTCTCATTTTCACACCCAAAAATGGACGACGTGATCCTAGAAACTTGAAATTACTCACAATCAATACCAATTAACCAAACATGCAAACAAATAATCCAGAAGCTAGCACTACTGAAACAAACAATTCCAATCAATCAACAAACAATCAACCAATAAATAAACCGTGCAGGGTCAGTTTCAAACCTCCTGAATTCTGGAAGGCTGAGCCAGAGCTGTGGTTTTACAGAATTGAATGCCAGTTCCGAACTGCTGGTATTTCAACTGATGATTGCAAGTTCGACTATACAGTTGCCAGCCTAAACTACGAAACACTTGCGGAAGTAGCCGACCTTATACGCAGTCCACTAGCAACAGACAAGTATTCAGCACTCAAAAATCGTTTAATTAGCAGATTTGCAGACAACGATATAGTCAGAATCCAAAAACTGCTTGCAGGAGTTGCACTGGGAGATCAGAAACCTTCACAGCTCCTACACAAAATGCAGGGCCTAAATATCAATAAATTTCTCTCTAACTCTCTGGTTAGAGCAGTTACTATCTACAATGAAGGCCATATTAATGGTAAGTGGCGAAGATTTAACAAAACTAGTTAAAATAGCTGACAAAATAAATGAAACATTAGACAGACCAGCAAACCTCTATGGTATGTCTAGTGTGGAAAATCTAAACAGTAAACCCAGAACCCAGCTGATTTCAGATTATTATATTCACACCCCAAACCTACCCATACATCTTTTAAATGAACTTTGAATCATCAAAAATATTAAATTTTGGCCGAGTTATTAAACAATTTGTCCTATCAATCAATGAAACCTATCTCGAGATTAAATCTATCTCCGGAGGAATCATGGAGCCGGATCTTAGACTATTAAGAAAATATGAAATGTTAAATTTAAGGGTACTTTTACAATTTGCTTTAATTTAGAGATGAAATTTAGTAGCTGGCAAACACTTTTTATATTATTAAATGGAGTTTGATGTGGATTGAGTCTTTTCATTTCCTTTTTTTTATTTATTTGTAAGTGTGTATTATGTTTTTTTCTCTTTATTCATTTGAGTCGGTGTTTTTAAAAATAATACCAAGCAAGTCGAAAGTAAATAGAAAAATATTTTAAGTTAACGTCTCCTTTTTGCTATCCGGGCTAATCTGGACGGTCAATAAAATAAGAAATCGTTCATTCATATACCAGAACACTGTGTGATAAATATAAGAAGAAACCAAAACTTTTATAATTAAACGTTTAATTACCATCCGCAACAGAAACCATCATAGCAAGAAAAACAACAAGAACAAAGGTTTACAAAAGGCAAAAAACTTTTCTTGTCGGATGTATTATACAGATTTTCCTGACAAAGAACAAGGATACTACAGCGACAAATAAAGGCTCGTTGCCGAACTCAAGAACAAAGCATTAAATTATCTTTCTAGGCCGAAAAGGGCCCACGCTGCTGGTAATTAATTCTTATCTTGGAAGCAAAAAGAGGGAGGCCGTGTTAAAACTTCAGGCCTTTCATATTACAACCTAGACACCTCTACCAATTTAATATTAAAACAATATATCTTTGGAAATATCATCCTAAGGCTAAGATAAAAAAAGAAATCAGGAGTCAATCTTTATTTTAAAACAAATATGTTAGGCCCAGTGTTCCAAAAAGTTTTCCTTTTACTGTTTTTTTACCAATCTTTGTAATTAATTTTTTCGCCTAGTTCTCAGTTTAGTCCAGTAAGTTTTTTTAACAACATGTTTGTCTTCTTGTGTAGTTTCGTCATGAATTTATCACAAAAAGTGTAAATTTGTGTTTTGGGAAGGTATATTTATGTTGGCGACAAGACGCCCAAAAATAGCTGTAGGTATCTAGGTAGTTCATAGTCTAACAATACGACAAAACATTTCATAAAATCATAAATGTTACTTGCATTTTGAGACTGTATATTTATTTTGGCTACAGGATGACTACAATAGGTATATGTATCTAAGTAGTTCACAGTCTAACAATATTACAAAAACATATAAAAAGTTGTAATTTGCCTTTTAGGTATCTCATAATAACCGTTTGCGATTATTAATTATAGTCATACGAAGTTACTTAATAATTAATCATATTATATAGTTCTCTTGTTTTATCCCATGGGATATTAATCATTATTGGCAAATACTAGTTTATTTATTATAGTAACATGGACGTCAACCCTCTGATATAGACTTATTTATGATCTGATCTTGTTTTTACCAGTATTTTTTTGAACTTCATTTCAATTTATTGTTAATTTAGAGTGAATTTTATAATTATGTACACTGAAAATAAACATTAAAAAGAATGGAGTTATTCGGTATATAATATATATAAAATTCACTTCAAATCTTCAATGTATATAACTGATGAAATATGCTAAAGTATGCTAGATGTTGACTATAGACTACTATGCTAGACTAAAGATTTCTTTAGTTTTAAAAATAATAATAATAATGGTGTACCTTTTTACCTGAAAGTAGCAAGGTACAGTCTACTATATAGTCGGTATTCTACGAAGGTATATCTTGTGGCTAGCACTATAACCTTAAAAGTGAGTTACAAATGCCCAAGTGCTCATTTGCGTTAATTGAGTTAATCTAATCTAAGTATTTAAACTATTTTAATAGTATTAATGATAGTGGGCTGATAAGTAGGTTTACCTTTAGATTGGTACACGAGACTTGTACCTCTAAGCACCGGGGCTCTAGCCTTTGCTTATACTAGAGTAAAATTACGTTTTATATATACCATGTGGTTATAAAAATAAGAAATCCCTTGCAAATTTTGAACTGTCCAAATATTGGCTCTCCTATTAATTTTACAGCAAAGTCGTAAGGAGAGTTTTTAAAGGTCTACCTATGCTGAATGCCAAATTTGAATAATTTTGGACAAGCCGATTTTAAGTAGTTTAAGAAAAATCGCATCAATTTTTAAATTAAAACTGTCAACATACTATTAGTTTGCTATACTACATACTATTTTTATCAACCTATGATTTAATCATTGTCAAATGTAATTTGTTGTGCTGTCTACACTACTACATTACCGTAGGTTAGAGTTACCAACATTCAAAAAAAATAGAGGACGAGAGTGTAAAACAGGCAAAACAATGTTTAAACATCGTTCAAATGTAAAGAATTTACCCAAAAGTTATGTAAACACTATACGGATAATGGTCTTTTTTACTTTCTTGACGCATTCACAAATATTACTTGTACGTACATATTTCTTTTCTGTGTGAACGAGTGGAGCTAGCAGCTAGCGGAAGCAGACATGCTGTTGCCAGATTAGCAATTTTATTAATCACTGTTCCGATAGACGATAGTTTGTTAGATTTTGGTGTGTAACAACAGGATTTTTTCCATATGCGGGAGACAAGAGAACAGTACGATCAGAAAGAGGACTGTCCTCTGTAATACAGAACGGTTGGTAACCTTGTAGTAGGTACCTACGCTTAATGTTCCCGAACTGTAGTTTTGCTGTTCAGTTTTAATTTAAAAACAGATGCAGTTTTTCTTAAATTACTTAAAATCGGTTTGTCCAAAATTGTTCAAATTTGGCATATGTATTCAGCATACACAGACCTTTAAAAAGCCTATATTTACAACTTCGCTGCAAAATTAACCGGGGAGCTATAAGATCCAGAAAGTTCAAAATTAGCATGCGATTTCCTATGTTTCCAACGACGATGCACCACCCGGTAGAGCCAAAGCGTGTTTTTGAAAATATCTAGTTACCAACATGTCTTAAGTTACTTTTAAATTCTTAACTTAATTAGCATCAGAAATTGCAGAACTCACCGAGTCTTTTCGAAATTTCCGAATTGTGCATTTTCGGATTCTCCTGTGCTATCTTTCTGCGCTGAAGACGTGACCACACCATAAACGCGTTCATGGGCCTTTTGATGTGGTCCTCTTGCTTTTTGACAGCTTGAGGTGTTTGTAAACCTTGCGGCATACCGATGGGCGTCCCGCCCAGGGACGCCATCCTGGAGAATCCTTCTGCGGCATTGAAGCCACTTTCGCACATCTGGCTCACAGACCTGTAAAAATAAATACAATTAATAATATTTACTCGTTGAGTAATAGCCGTAATTGATTTTTTTAGTAGACATCGGCTATTGAAACGATGAATATGTTTTATACAAAACGGTCTGCGAGAAAATACGTGCTGTATACTAAAGTGTGATGTTCCTAAACAAATAAAATAATAGTTTTAATATGCGTTATTGTGTGTTTGTCCAGTTTTTTACAATTTTGATTCTGTAGGAATCTACGTTCAAGAGACTTGAAAAAGACATATACTGTCGAGACGTCGCCGTCGTCGATAAAAATAAAATAATAAATAAAATCCAGTAACATCTTTACGACCCCAACCACCTAAAGCCAGGAATAAAAGAAAAAATATAAACTAATTTAGAGTCAATATATTTTATGATAAAAATTTTGACATCATGAAATTAATTTAAAGCATGCATTGCATGTAGAACTTAGCATATTTGACATTGTTATATGGGGGCAATCTTGAAATTACGGTCTAAAACTCCTACATATAATAATCAATTTTCTGAAGGAATTAGCCAATTTTTCTAACCCACTTATATTATTTGCTAAAATTTTCTTGTCAACTTTAAATTAGTTGAGAATTATTTAAGCGGTCAGTATTACCTTTATTTATTTATCTATAAGGGAAAAAAACATAAATCGTTTTGTTAACTTAATGAAAACAAATTTTGCCATGATGCAAAAATTGCTGATTGGAAGGAATCATTTAACTGACATTGTTAAACGGTAATCTTGTACGATTTCAAGCTTTCATTACCAATCTTCACCTATAATCACTTGGTTATTTCAAGGCAGTTAAAATGTGACTGATTTTTTTATAATTGCAAGTATGGCATATACATATTGACTGATTGATTGATTGTATAAAAGGGGGGAAGTTACTCATGGTAACCTAATAAATCTATTGTGTCCCCCTTTCTAGAGTTATAAATCACCATGCAGTTTCAGGGCTTTGACAAAAGCCAGTATCTGAGACGGTTTTACAGAGGTTGGTTCTCAATCTTCGATATCCGTCGTTCCCAAGTTTATGGCACAAATGGTTGTCGTCTCGGCGCACTCAGTGATAAGGTGTTCTGGCATATACATTATAATATTTAATACTGATCGGAACTAAAACTTTAACTGTTCTATTAGCATATTTCACATTGTTACACTGCAGTCCTGCAATAAACTAAAGTCTCAATCTCTCACGCTTAACAATCGGTAACCTCTATTCGTTGCGATTTTTGACTCTATACTGTTCAAAATCTCCTTGACGCTTTATTTGTTCAGGTTTGTTCCTTTCACGCTCATTATTGTTCATTTCCCGCGTAATGCGCTCGGAATATTCTCGCTACAACTCTAATTACCATATGGGCTGTTATTGTTTTGAGAGGCGTAAGTTTTGTGTTTGTTCTGTCGTCGACCGTTCTTCACTTTCGTATTCCAATAATTTTGAATATTTTAGAATCGGAGCTGGTACGGATTGTTGTTTGAAGATAACGCCGCATAATATTAGTGAGGAGTAAAGAAATTTGGTGGAGAATTATAGAAAATGTGATCACTGCTATAATGGAAGAAAAACATAAAGGGAATATAAGGAAAAATTCGGAAGAACAGGTACAAAATTAGAGCCTAATGTTTTTGTTTCTGAATAACATTCTTTTTCTTCTTCCAATACCGTCTTATATCTGAAATTAGACCACCAGTGCAATTTTTACTTTATTGATTGTAGCTCTAAATAAATCCTCTTGAAGTCGCAGTCGCACTCTCTTACATTACTTAACTAAGTATACATTCTTGTGTCTCTTAGACTTTTTCTGATTTTCCTTTTGCATTAGCCTTAAGAGTCTATTACGCTGTACTGTTCAGGTCGCTCTAAGGGGTCGGATAAAGCGGGTGTGTGGCCGAAGGAAATATATATTATATTTTAGAAATCTGCCTAAGGCTTAGCCCGATCCTGTTGTGTTAAGCCACACCCAAAATTCCAAACACACGTGCTTTGATTAAGGCTTGATTAAGGTTTGCAGGACTTTAGCATTTGTCATAAAATAGCGAGCAATTGATTACAAAAACATATAAATTATATATCACTGTAATCACAACATTAAATGTCGAACGCCTATTTTGCTATTTTTTCGGACTAGTGAAATGGAGTCTTAATAGTTCACCATTTACCTCTCTTTTTCTAATAAGCGCAGATTGCAATTTTTCTTTTTTAATATTACCTATTTTTCCTCTATCTCCTATTTTTTCACATTTTATCCTTATTCTATGTAGTACTTCCACAAATTAACTATAGCAGATGCGAAAGAACACCGAATTCCGCGTTTCAGTTTCTGTGACCTTCAGAAAGAGTTCATAGACAATCCGCATCAATGTATAGTTTGCGTTATTATTTGTTTGGGTTAAAATAATCTGCACCAATATGTGATCGAGGCATATAATCTCACAGTAATTTAATAGATTGCTCGTCATATATCAGTTCGTAGGAAATTAGGGAAAAAAAGATATTTATAGTATAAAAACATTAATTTATTTAACAAAATTTAATTAAAGATGTGACAAAATAGTTACTTTTCTATTGGTTCTATCGGACTTTTTTGACTATATAAATCTTTATTTGTAAACTTTAATGCATAAAATATTTTCAATCTAATAAATAATTTAATGATGTAAATAAGAGGAAATTTCTCACATGGGTGGTCAAATTCTATAGTTTTCATTATATCAAACAGCCTCTGAGAAATGTTTTCTTCAGTGCAAAACTCATCAAAATTTAATGTAAATAATTTTTCCAGCCTGCAAATAAAATGAACAAATTTTTCATTTGGCGATTTTAAACTCCCATAAGTGCCACTTTCATGATTAAAGGCTTTTAAATAGGTAAATAATTTCGAGTTATCCAGAGATTCGGATTCTTTGCAAATTTTAGACAAATATCACATTGATGTATTTGAAGACCCTTTTAATGATGTAGCCACAGACATAGTTAAAGGCATTTTGAGTTGTTATACTTTCATGCCTATAATTATAATCTGGTAAAGTTATTGCCTGATGTTTTTTTAATGGTGCCACATTTTTTAATAAAATTCTGGACTTTTTGACGGACTTTAATTGGGTTAATAAAATACCCAAGTCATCGAAACAATTCATAATGCAAAAAAGTTTGACAAAATAGTTTCCTAAATGCCCTTTGGAATTCTATAGGTGTTGGATTTACAGAATTACCTTGTTGCTGTCTAACGCTGCCAAAATAATTTTCTAAGCAATCTTGGTTAATTCTCCTTGTTTTTAAATAGGTAAATCCAATAGAAGAAAGTCGATGTCAGAGAATTTGAATGGACTTTATTGTGATCATCCAGCACGTACGAAACTTGCATTTTAAAGTTATATCTATATTATTGTTATTAAAAATTTTTAAGTTTGCTAGAAATAAACCCATTTCATTTAAATATTCATTTTGAAAATCTAAGCCTTTAAAGACAGTTTTGTACGGATTAGGGTGATTAAAATCCACTGCATTTAGTAAATCAAACATTTTATCAAAATTTTCAACTACCTCAAGAGTGGCTTGTGCTTCAGCAGGAAGTACACCCAGAGTCATATGCGTCTGTAACCTAATGGCTACCGTTCTGCTAATTACTTGCGTAGCAAGCTTAACTTTCATTTTTTGAAAGTTGTTTGGATAGATGTGAGCATCCGTGAGCTTGGGTGCACATCTATATTGTTGCTTTTTATCATTATTATAAAAAGTTTCTATAAACTTCCAAGATGTCTTTTTATTGTCGAAACAGAATACATTTTGCATAAGATTATTTTTTGTGGCCTTAATAAGATGAGGAGTGTCAAAAAAATATGTCAGTTTATAATCACCAACATTAAATTCTGGATTGTCAGTAGTGACATTTAACAATTTTGAAATTTGTATAAAATTTGACCCCATATCAGTTACAATACCTTGAACATAGAAATAACAGTTCAAAAGTTCAACAAAAATCCTACACGCGTTTTTAAAAAGAAACATATAACAGCTAAACGACTGGTGTATTTACACCACTCAATAGGCGTGTCGGGTTTGCCGAGCGGTTTCCGATGCAGTTAATAGGTAATTTGTGGTAATTCTTTATTGGCTATTCTCTGTCCATGAAATTTTTCACATTTTCCTGCAACACATTTCAAAAGCTTTATCGTTTTCAGTTACTGTCTATAGTGGAAACTGACTATGAAGGAAACATATCATCGTAACATCATCATTCCTAGATCTGCTTTATCTGGAGAACAATGATATAAAACATAAACTTTTCAGTTTTCTTCCATTCATTGGTTTGCTCACTTTTTCTGTGATCCATTCTTTTGCTGCGATCCATGTTTTTGAACGATCAATAATATTAGCCGAGTGTTATTTGAGGATTTCCATATATCTTGAAAAACTTCATATTTCTTCTTAACACACACCTCTTTTCTATTACTCAATCCTTATCCTACACACGGTGTCTGAGAGATAAGTGCAGATAATTTAACTAGTATATTTCTACCCTAGAAATATGCCTTTTAATTTTTTATGCGAAAAAAATTGTGGAAAATTTTCTTGACATTTTCCGGGAAATTTAAAAAAACTTTTTAGTGTCACTTATTTATTCACCTGAGATTTCTCTACGGTGTATCTAAACCTTGCAGTGTTGCCACCTCCTAACGTTATCCATGAACGTATATCCTACATATTTCTATACTTATAAATTCACAGCAATTTCAAATTTCTACACAAAAAATTAGGAATGATAATTTTAATCTTTTGAGATCAGTACCCGTTACTAATAGTTCTACAAAAAACTATTATAAACAGAAAATTTCAATAAAAAATTATGATCAAATTATGATGAAGCTTATTTGAAAATAATGTCTTAGAAATGGGGACTGTTATTTAGTAGTTATTATAATAGCATTTACAAGTAAAGCAGCACAGTGAAGTTTGTATCGAAAAAGAGAACTGTCGCAG